ACACAGTTTTTTAATTAAAGTACACATCAAAATAGCATGTACATACAGAAATCCAGCCTCTCACTTCAATACTCATCAGCATTTCCTGTGTTGTCTCACTCCAAGAGATGCACAAACATGGGGAAGGAAGACAGGGAAACCCACTGCTTTGCCCTCTGCTTTTGTTACAGGTCATCTGTGTTAGAAATAAAGAGAAAATAAAATGGTGAGTCCTATGTAACTTTTAAAAAGTGTATGAAATCAAGAGATGAGTTATGCTGAAGATGTAGGGTTTTTTTAAGGTAATTGTATACACATGTGGCCTTAAAACCTGCTGCTATGTCTGTTCAATAGATTTAAAAAATAATGCCAATGAATACTTAACTCTTGTAGCACTGAAAATATTTGGTATCATGCTGTCATTGTTCAAAGTCAGTTTTATATTTTTTTTTAAAGTAAACCCAGCATCTTTGAAAATAAAATGAATTGTTGATAATTTTTTTAAATTCACTTTTATCCTATTTAACACTCTAACACAGGCAAGAGTTCTCTATTAAAAGAATGACTTTTATGTTGAAAAGTATCCTTCATTTTTGTTTGGATTATAGTAGAGTTTCCACATACATCAATCAATGCCCCATGTATGTTAGAAGCCTGGTTCCCAGGTGTGCATTTTTCTGAAGGGAGGGGAAAGGTAAAAACTGTATTAACAAACAGTAAGGGGAGGATGGTGTAAGCCTGAATGTGCGATCAGCCATTTTTTGTGAAAACATTTATTTTCAAGTCTCTTATTATACTATATTTGGCATTTTGAATACATAAAAAGTAAAAGGGTTTAATGGACTATTAACTATTAAATGTCAGAAAGACAAATCTAAGCTTACTTTGTGGACACCTGTGCATTTTCAAAACACATTTTTGTTTTATTGGACCTACAAACCTAAGGAACCATTTTACATATTCTTGAAGCCATCTACTGGCATCTCGTCTGTTACAATTCCCCTGTAATATCCCCAACATCAAATTTGAATGAATTGTGTGCATCAGACATATCAGTTTATATTAAAAAAACCCAACCAAACCCAAAATGGAAACAATTTTCATATACAAGAGGGAGACCTGTAAATTACCTATCTAGATTTATGCACTTTTTGTAAGATGCTCAGGTAATACTGAATCAAGTACTTAGATAAAAATAGATTTGTTGCAAGGTGAGTGACTATTCTTATTTTATCAGTGGTTCAGTTGAGAAAGAGAAGACGAGAGACTTGTCTGTAGCTATATGAATTAGAATCCATCTCTCAGACCCATGAATGACACGTGCCCCCTGCAGCTGTGGGGGCACAGCAGAGGTGGGAGCACGGCAGCAGTGGCAGGAGTGCAGTGGCAGTAAGCAGGAGAGCTCCTGCAGACGTCGGTGGCAAGCAACAGCCAGGGGTCAGCAACCACCTGCAGATGTCACAGGCAGTGTCAGGGGCAGCCAGTGGGGATTGTGGACTGCCCACAGAGGCCGTCGGCGGTGCCCCCCTTTTTGTAGGGGGTGCACCGCCACACTAAGAGGGTACACATGTACCTGAGTGCACCCCCTACACTTCGCCCCTGCTCAGACCCCTCCTCTAGCTACAGACCATCCTTGACCCAAAGTTGAGGGCCTGGTATTCAAGTAAGTGCTTGTAATTGGCAGCATATGAGTTTAGCAGTTTGACTCCACTTAGGCATTAAAATCATGCTCATCAACTGTCAGATCCATCACAGCTGTCCATTTTATTAACTATCATTAACATCTTTATGATATTCATATGTATTTAAACTTTCAACAACTTAAACCAAACAAACTAACAAGACAATTTTTGCTATAATGGTAAAGTCATGGCTTGGGTGTGGAAGATGCTGTTGATGGTAATGACCGCCTTGTAGTCTATCCATCACCTTTGCTACTGAATTGGTTACACTATGGTTTCTGCAAAAGAAAACAAACACATACCTGCCAATGTCAGATTGAGGGATGTCAATACCCTTGTTACCATTTAACCAAATTGCCATTTTAAGAATGAGTTTTTCCTTTAGAGGGACAATTTCTCTCTCAGAATTTTTACTTGGAAAGCTTTTTCCATATCCTTATTGGTGGGCATTGTGAAATCTTTAGGATACTTGGATAAAACAATACCGTTGTCTCCTGAATACACAAAATTATATCAACACTTGCATACCGTGGAAATAGAAAACAAAATAAAAACTGCATTAGCTAAATGTAATACTGAAAATCATTTTACCCCTCCTGATTATAGCTGCTAGAATTTCAGGGTACTTTGCTACAACAGTTGTTACTATATTTAAACTCTGAAGTTTATTGTCAGTTTTCATATTTTCCCCTTTGCCTTTAAAATGGATTAAATCAGGGAGTCACACACACTGAGCATCTATATTATCACTTTCTGACTTTACCAACTATTTATTATGAGTTATAATCTTATTTCAGTTTCTAGTGAATATTTACACTGCCTTTAGGGGGGGAGGGTTTGGTTCCCTCAAACAAGACACACTCCTGCATCGTGCCATATTTAACTCTTTCTTTGCCCAAACTTTAGGAAATGCTTTCATGTAATTGTCTTGGTTAACCCTATCAATCACAGCAAGAACCTTAATAGCTGCTACCACTTTTATTTCTAGGTTATTTACACTACACCCACACTATTTCTGGACATACTTAACCCCCATTACCAATGAGAAGGTCCACTTTTACACTTCTAACAGTCGCTCTCTTGCAATACAGGCACAGAACAACCACACAACACTGCTTCATTCTCTGTTTTGCACAAGCACCTTAACAATCTCCGCAATGCAGCCCACTTCTTAGGCTTCCCTGCTGTTACAAACACTTAATGCAGTTTCTAGCACAGAGCTGAGTCTCCTCTGCCACTGACTTCTTATTGGACCAGCAATAGAAGTGGTTGTACTTAATCCAAACAGAGCTCAGGCACAGAGATCGGGTTACAGCTTTTCCTCAGTCACAGCCGCTGTAGCTCTCCCTGCTCTAAAGCAGTCACTCCTAAAATGTGATTCTTACTCTCTCCTCCTGCCTGCTCTTGCATCCAAACTTTTCACTGCCATTCTTTTTAAGCACTTGCCACATCTCTCTCTGTATAACAGCTGCGTTACAGCCTGTTTTTCCACATCCCTCTATCTTTTCTACCGTTTCCTCCCTGTCACAGGTCCTTACTTTCTGAATCTCTTTATGTAAGGAAACAAACCTTGACTGAGTGAACTATGCATCTTGGCTAGTGAATTTGATTTGTAACTCCCGCCCAAAGGGCTGTAACAACAGAGGCACCAGCTGGGGGGCAGTTTCAATCATCCTGGTTCTCAACCTGCCCAGACCCAGCACTTTTAAAGAACTGGGTCTCCCTCCTGTCCCAGAAATGGGTACAAAGAGGGAAGTTGGGGAACCAGGTTGCAGCCCTTGATCCCCAGCTCCTAAAGGTTACTTGAACCCCTAGGCATTATTACAGTTTTCCTGTTACACGACCTGACAGGTGGGTACTTAGTAGCCATCTGTGATGCATGTTTCTGCTTCCTTAGTAACTCTCCTTAGTTGCACCTACCCCTCTCCCCTGGGGGATCTGGGTGGGGTCCCCAGTAGTGCGGTCTAAATACTTGGACTACCCTAGCTCTACACAGCAAACAAAACCCAGTGTTTTCATATGCACCACGCATGGGAATATACATGAATATGCATGGCCTTGCAAAGCTGCGCCTTTGTCTCATTAGGGGCCCGGCCGGAGCCACGGGGAGCCCCCCTTTAAGAGGCCCGCCTGGGGCTGTCAATCGTAGCGCTCCCTCCTCCCCTTCCTGCGAGCCGGAGCGCGGCCGGGCCATGGGCAGCCGGGACCAGCCGCAGCGCGAGCAGGAGCGCCGGGAGGGCTCCGGCCGCGGGTCTGGGCTCTTCGGAGCCATGGGATAGCGCCAGAGCCGGCCCGCGGACAAGCCGCAGCTCTGCTGCCCTGCACGGCGGCTCGGAGCGCGCCTGCGGAGCGAGGGCGGCACAATAGCCGGGAGGAGGAGAGAGGGAAGGGGCAGGAGCGAGAAAGACGCACGGAGCTGCGGGACTCTGCAAGCCCCAGCCCCTGCAGGGGGGCACGGCGGCCCCCGGCCCGGGGCAGCGGGGGCTGGGTGCGCCATCGGTCGCGTCCTCCTCCCCCGGCCCCTGCTCCTTTGTCCGCCCTCCCGTCGGATGGCCGTGGTGCGAGCGTCCTTGTTCTCGGGCAAACGCCGGTCCCGCCGGGGCTGAAGCTGTAGGTGTTGGTGGGGGGCGACGAGGACGAGAGACCGTCCCAGGGACAGAAGCAGCTGCCTCTGCGTCCTCTTCTCCGGCGTGGATCGCGAAGGAGACGCGTTTCGCGAGTTAACCCTTGTCTGTCTGCTTCTGTAGCTCCATGTGAGATTTGGCTGGCGTACTCCGCCCCCTGTTCCTCACCCTGGTCTATTCTCGGATGCAAAATGGTGGACCCAGTGGGGTTTGTGGAGGCTTGGAAAGCTCAGTTTGCAGACTCGGAGCCTCCCAAGATGGAGCTGAAGTCAGTGGGAGACATTGAGCAGGAGCTGGAGCTGTGCAAAGCCTCCATCCGGAGGCTGGAGATGGAAGTCAACAAGGAGAGGTTCCGCATGATCTACCTTCAGACCCTCCTGGCCAAGGAGAAGAAGAGCTATGACCGACAGAGGTGGGGCTTTAAGCGAGTTTCCCATCTCCCTGAAGGGGCTGCAGAGCTGCAGAATCAAGACCCACATCACCAACCGGCTGAGCAAGGGGAGCTGGAAAAAAACAAGCCCCATCACGGAGAGGAGAGGTTCAAGCCAAGGATACCTTCTCTGCGGAAACTGTCCACCCAGAGCGACGGGTCAGACCTGTCGTTGCTGGACAGTCCCCACCACGGAGAAGGGGATCAGGACAGGTGTAAATACTACAGCGAAGAAAAGCTGAAGAGAGTCGCGGAGGACACGGAGAACCGCTGCGATACAGAGGGGTCCCCTTCGAAACCCAGGCCGGCTTCCACTCGCAGGCTGGTAGGATCCGCTGAGAAAGAGGGGTCTTTCGAGCCAATTGCGAAGGAGAGAGGGAACACTACCAGCGTAGCGGCGCTGAGGTCCAATTTTGAGCGGATTAAAAAGATAAATTTGCATTCCTCTACAGATAGCAAGGATGCCCCGGAGAAGCCCTTTTACGTGAACATGGAGTACCACCATGAGAAGGGGCTTGTGAAGGTCAATGATAAAGATGTTTCAGATAAGATAAGCTCCCTGGGTAGCCAAGCCATGCAGATGGAGCGCAAGAAGTCTTTGCATTCTCTTCCTCCGAACATGGTAGCCAGCTTTAGCGAGTTCCAAAGGGCCGCCTACAGGGGGAGATCCTCCGAGAGCACCTTTGGCTACGATGGAGAGTATGAGGATGCTGAACTGAACCCCAGGTTTCTGAAAGACAACCTGATAAATGCCAACGGGGGCAACCGAGCACCATGGCAACCAATGGACTTTCAGCCCTACCAAAGCATCTACGTTGGTGGGATGATGGGGGAAGGAGAAAGCAAAGGATCTGTCCTGCGAAATCAAAGCATGTCTGACCAGGAGAAGCATCTTACATGGCCCAGGAGATCTTATTCCCCCAGGAGTTTTGAGGACATTGGGGGAGGGTATACTCCTGACTGTAGCTCTAATGAGAACCTCACATCCAGTGAGGAGGACTTCTCTTCAGGTCAGTCCAGCCACGTTTCTCCCAGCCCTACCGCTTACCGCATGTATCGGGATAAAAGCCGTTCTCCGTCCCAGAATTCACAGCAATCCTTTGACAGCAGCAGCCCACCAACTCCTCAGTCTCAAAAGCGGCACAGGCCACAGCAGGTTGTTGTGTCTGAAGCTACTATTGTAGGAGTACGAAAAACAGGGCAGATCTGGCCGAATGATGGAGACTTACCATCTGGGAGAAATCATCAGGACAGCTGTTTCCATGGAGATACAGGTACCTGTATTTTGTTTAAACAGGGCTTTGGTTGGTTGGTAATATGGGGAGGGCAGGAGGTACAACATCACGGGCTTCCTAGGAAGATTGTGCAAGGGGAGGCAGTTGCTTGGAGAGAGCCCTGCTGGTGTTCTGGGGGAAGGCCAGCAAGCAAAGCCTCCGACTTGGGATGCATCTGTAGCTGTCTTGGAACCTAAGGTTTGATTCCTGGGAGGGCTGAGTCAGCTCTGCATCCTTCTGGAGAAGATAAATAAAGCTCCATGCAATTTACTCTGAGTTTTTCAAGACTCTATGTAAAGCATGGCCTTGATTTCTCCATGTGTACATCATAGTTCCTCTGGGCCTTTTCTGTAAGAAAATGGGTTTGACCAATTTCTTTAGCCAAAATTCCCCTGTCCTCCAGCTGTTGTCATTAAGGGACTAAACCCTATCAGTGGCTGCAGGTCAGTGATGCTCTAACCTGGCATCCTTACGAAGCCATTACATTAGTAAGACAAGGACTCCTTCCTTGCCTCTCCTTTTTTTTATTCCCCTGCCCATAACTAACTGGGAGACTCCAACTCCATTCTCTCTCATGTCTTCCTTTGAATTACTATTGACTGGATACAGTGCTGGTCCAGCCCTCTGGCTTGTAGTGTCATAAATGAGGCAAGAGCATGGAACATTTTGGAAGCCTTACACATTGTAGTGGAGAATGGTTTATTTAGCTTTGGCAGAGTCTAAATGGGAAAGTGTTTCTTTTTTTGGGCAGCATATTTGATGCCGTTCCCATGTCTGTATGTTCAAGGCTTAACGACTAGGTTTCAGAGTTGAGCCCGGATGGGGCAAAGTGAATGCTTGGATCAAACGGGCATAAGAATGTATGTGGGTATCTGACTCCTATTTGTATCATGCGGTGCAGTGGTGAATGACATCTTTCATTTAAGTCTCCTTGCCTTTGAGCATAAATGTTGTCTGGAGAGAAGAAATCGGTGTGATCAAGTAGCATTGTATCATTGTCTTTGAGCATGTGTGTAATCTTGATTTTATTTTTTTCCCCTCTCTCTCTTTAAGCCTATATTTTAATAAGGGATTAACTTGGACATTTGCAAACAGGATTGAATTCCTGCGTTGTTGATGAACCTCTTCAGGGCTTTGAGTGCAAAGAGGGAGGCCCATCAGAGATGTTTTCATTGTCTCAAGTTGCCCTAGTTCTCAGAGGGGGTGACTTAAATGGATGGAGATCCCTGGGTCTCCTCTCCCTATTGCTTTTTAAATGCAGTAGTGCTTTGGCTGAGCATTTGGCCTGAAGGGCTTTCACAGATATTGTTTCAGTTCTCCTAAAGTCTGTCGCCATTGTTGTGCTAGTGAAAGGCTATTCAGTCTTAATGTCTGTTTACTATAAATGAAAGGTACTTGAGAGTTCCAGACCTTGGCACCAGGTCCTCACAGTGACCTCGTCCTTATCAGATTTCTGTATGATATGTATTATTTTATGCCAGGATTTGGTCTCCTGTTTGTTCCTATGGGAAGCTGGAGAGATGCTGGGGGGAGGTTGGATCCAGTGCTGGTATAAACTGAGCTGCAGCCATCTGTCTCTGCTCTTTTTGTTTACTGATGCTCTTTAGATGGCTCCGTAGCCTCCTGGCTGTTGCAGTTTTGCAGAAAGAAACAAAAGGGACAAAATAACAAAGGTGGATAAAACTCATTCTTCAAGGCAAATTCATGCTGCTTGGTTGGTTGGTGTTCCAGAAGATGGGCAGTTTGGTTTTATTTTCAGTCATGTATTTTGCTTAGGTTGGCAGCATGTGGGATCCTGCGTGACTGAAAGGGCCTTCCGGGATCTGAAAACTCCTGTGTAATGCCTGGTCCCTGAAGACAAGGCAGGATTTTGTTCCTGAGGGGGGCCAGAGAATTGCAAACAAGGGCATCGCATAACTGCTTTCCCAAGTACAGGGGGTAACGCAAGGCAAGCTTAGCAGGAACCTGGATCAGATGGCAGTTCATTGCTGTCTTGTGCTATAGCTAGTGGCAACTTTCTACTCCACTGAAAAGGAGGTTTCTGTGTTCACAGCACAGCTATGCTGCTTGTTAGTTTCCACTGTCAGTAGGGATGCTTTGTGGGATTTTTCTTTTCCTTGAGAAAGTCCGTGTTTGATCCTAAACAAATTGTTTATAAAGCAGATACAAAGAAAGGACTCTCCTCAAAGGGCAGGAGGGATCCCTGTGTGATTAGCCTGCTGGCTGCTCTTCTTCCCTCACATGTTCTGATGGGGGACATGTCTTTCACCTTCACATGTAATGAGAGCAGTTGATCACTTCAGCCAGCATCCCTTGCCCTGTGGTTCAGACACCAGTTCTGCCCGTCTTCCCTGAAGCCGTGCTTCAATATGAGAGCGCAAGCCTGAGACGCAGCAGGTTCTGCCCAGTCCTGATGATTAGCATCTAGGTAGATTTGGTTTCTTTAGAGATCCAGATTTCATGTGCTTACAGTTCTGTGGTTGCATCTATCTTTTTTTTGTTCACAATAACACTAGGCTGAGCCTGGCACAGTTTGGACAGGTGCTATGCAGGCTTCCGCTGTGGGTCTGCCAGTGCATCATGATCTTAGCAAACACCTGCGACTTCTCCCTGAGACCTTGGTTGAGCAGAGACTGCCAATCATACTAAATCGTCTGTTAGTTTCCTAGTGGATGGGGACTAGGATGAGATCACTACACTCCCTTTCACTTTGGCATCAAGCCAAGGTATGTACCTCTGTTTCCAGGGATGAAAAGTATCTAGAATGGGGAAAACTGACTGGGGCTGGACTTGGGTTTTGGCTGGGTGAGGAGCTTGGGGGTAAATGTGTGGGTTTATAATAACAACTGTATTTGTTAAAAAGAGTGGATTAAAAAGTTTGTATGCCAGGATGAAGTATGCAACACCTATGATTATTTCCTGTAATGGGAGAAAGTGAAAAGAGGTCTTAATCCTGTGATTAAATTTGAGATGGTTTTAATATGGTTGTATGAAAAACATGTTTTCCCCACCCACTATTAACTGTTTATTTCCCAAGAAACACACTGGGGCTTCCCCTGAACATAACCAAGAAGAAAAAATGATGTTTTGCAGTAGGGGCCTTGCTATGACCTTGGTCAGTTTGGGGTGGGGGGATGTGTTTTGTTTTAAGATATGCTTCCTGTTAGCTACTGATCACCAGGGATCCTGGTTTTCTCAGTTTTTAAAAAACCTTAAAATCTCTGATTTAAAAACAAATTGTAAATTCTCTGATTTTTTTTTTGATTTTTTTTGTTTGTTTTAAAAAACAAAAACAAAAACCAACAAATCCATCTTTTTCTGCAATTCAAGTGAAACTCTATATAAACTTAAACAGTGGAAGCCTACCAGTGCCTCAATAATGACAGTCTTTAAATAAATTCTAAATACCTATATATTTTGTCACTTAATTTGGTGTTTTTTGTTTTTAAATCATGGAAAACCAGAGCCCCCTCTGCTCACCAGGACATGGGTGCAGCTGTGGCTGTCTTTCCCCACTTGCTTTGTGGTGCTGAGCAGCCCTGATTTTTGTGCTGATGCCCCTCACTCCCGATCCAGTGTCCTCCCAGCCCTGCTGGTGCTCTGCACCTCCAACCTGCAGCCCCCTGGTCTTGCCAGGATCTGTCTTGGAGGCCATGCCTCACTTCTCTGCCTGCTCCAGCCCCTCCTATACTGGGAACTGAGGAGAAGTCCGTGGGAGCCATGCCTTGGCAAGGGCAGGGTGCGCATCACTAGCCACCTTGGAGGACTGTGTGGGCTGCAGCATTATTCATTGCTGCCCCCTGCCACTTGCCAATGAAGCCATCTGCTTACAGACATGGAAAAAAAACCTGGTGTTTTACTTTGAGCTTGGCACACCCCCACGCCGAGCCCAACACATGGCCAGAAGAGACAGCAAGTTAATTGGACCCAGCTTGCCCAACATCTGTATAGATCGGGCACTTCAGTGGGACTTTTTGGAGCTTTTACCTAATAGCTGATTCAATCAGCTATTAGATAAGTGCCAGAAAGCCCTGCTGAAGTGCCCAATGTCTACAGATGCTGTGGAGCTGGGTCTAGCTACCATTCTGCCCCTTCCGGTAAAGTGCCTGTTTCTTTTGGGTTTTTTCCTTCCGTGTTGGTCAGTGGTGCAATCAAAAACAAAAAAAATAGGGGTGGTGCAAGGTCCAGTTGACGAATGGGGATGGGGGTGAGCCTGGCTGCTGGGGGAAATGGGGAGGGTGCTTGCTGTGTGCACACAGGCCTAGGGGTGGAGAAAGCCTACTGAAGTTGGGCCCAAGCCCCTGGGCTGGGTGTGAGGGGAGTGGGTGCAGTTCCTTGGAATAGGAGGGCCCATTACTCTCTGCACCCACTGTGGAGCCATAAAGGGCCCCGGCCATGCCTTACACCTGTCATGGTGTGGTGCCTCCTGCCGGCACTCTTGCCCCATGTCCCCCTCGCTCCAGGCCTTCCCACTGCTGCCTCTGTATATTCCTGCCTGCAGGCATGGGAGGAGGCAGGGGGCACAGAAGCAGCAGGCGGAGTCCGTGGCATGGGGCAGCTCAGTCTATAGCCCCTGGCTGCCACAGGTTTCTCCCTTAAAGGAGAAAATCTACACTTTTTCCCATGATGAACCAAAAGCCCGGATCCATACCGATTGCATTGAAGTTCGCGTTTACATTTCCAGCTCTTTAGTATGTGTAAGACCCACTGGTGCTGCTCAGAGGATGAGAGGACCTTATTCTTTAGTGTGAAGGCACGACTCGCATTTAATCCAACTCAGGGTTGGAGTTTGTTCTCAATAAGGGCAGGGTTTTTCTTCAGAGCTTCTTTCTGTAAGCATCCTTATGGTCATAAGTGGCTTCCGCTAACACATGGGCCTTTAAAGAAGGGTCTTCTTGGGGTACTGCTGGTTGCACCCCCAGAAGGTAGCAGGTGTTTTCAGTACCAAGTGGTGTCATTTGCACGCTGTGATCTCGGGCACATTTCTCAGCCGTGTTGTG